GAATGTGCTACTTTTGGAGGCAGCAGTTCAATAGAAAACAGATACGGGAATGATATTGGCATGGGTGCTTGTTCAGATTCTACCACTGCAATCTCAGGACCTTAATAAATAGAGAGGTTGCTGCACTGAGCTGGAAGCAGAAAAAAACATGTTAATTTAATCACTATGAAGGGGACTCTGCCAAGTTAAGAAACATAAATTATAATTATATGCACACACACACACACACATTTGAATTATAATATATGCACAGTATTTAGCTGTGACACCAAGAATACGATGGTTTACTAAAACAGGAAGAATTCTTAAATAACATTTTTTTTCATTGATGATTTTTGTTGATTTGACATTTCCATTTTGTGTAGTTCTAACTAGTTCTTGTATCTGCTACATTAACCATGTGCTGTTGTACTTGTGGTACTAATCAAAAGGAAATTTATCTACAAACCTTCTTAAAATTCTCATATTAAAGAGTAAGCTTTTAATTATAGTGACTTTACTGGTAGTTATTACTTGTAATAAAGATTATGTTCTCTGGAATTCTAATGTTTGAAGAGGAGCTTGTGATACAAACTAGAAGTTACAATGAATGTAGAACAATTAGTGGGTAGCAAATGCTATTACCTATATTTTAAAAGGATTTGGATGTGATTCAGAGATTTAAAGACACATAAATTCTACATGAACATCTGAGAAATAGATTGAAACAGTAATACATATAAGCAGTAAAGCACCTGGGAAATGATGATGTAGGAGGTTCTAACCAAGTACATTTTTCCTACCAAAGAAAACCAAGCCTCACTACTTTCTTAAAATTCTTTACATGATATGTACAAAACTAATAGGTAGGGGGGTTGACAATTTCCTTAAACTTTCTGAAGACCTTTGGTATGTCTCCAAAGAGAAACAGAATTGTCTTGGATCAAAACTTTTGAAATAAAAGATAATGGAAGAAAGAACTTTCATTGTAGATAAAGGCTTACAGCTGGTGCATCAAGGTTTAGTTCTTGGTCCTGTGTTGTATAATACACTAATGAGCAAGCTGCAGAGCGGGAATACCTTGTCAACTACAAAAATTTGCACATACTATGAAGTTACTGAGAGCAATCATGGCCGGGAAGGTCTGTGCAGAACGCTCTGGGGAGAAGTGAATGTGCTTGGGGAGAGGGCAGAGGGATGGGCATAATAATATGGTATCTGAGTGTTTGAATGCATTCCTTATGAGAAGTTCTTGTCCCCACTACAAGATTCCTAATTCTTCTGCTTAATAAGTAACTTGGCCATTGAAAGACACAGCCTGAGGAGTAATCGATAGAATACCATAATTCATTTGTTTAAATGGGGGATGTGGTTTCATCTGAAAATGCCAGATGCAGTGTCTTGGGAAGACTGCTGTATAATAAGAGAAAGCTCAGAGAGGTTTGTCAGGACCATATGGAAAACTTCCCACAGCAGAGTAATAGAAAAGATTGTGACTGTTTATCCTTGAAAGGAGAGGAATGAAAAGAAATTATAAAAATTTTGGTGAAGACCTATTTTCCCCAGTAAGGACAAGGGTGCAGGCAATAGATAAAGTGAAACACTCCTTCGTTCAAACCATAGTTAAACTGTTGAACTCTATCAGGTGGGAAAACATCGAGGTAAAAGTGTATCAAAATTCAGAAATGGCTGTGCTATTCTGTGTATTTTTGGAAGAGCCAGACTTAGGATAACTGGAAGGGATACTGCATTTATCTCTCAGAATGAAACACAGTATTAGGGTAGGTAAGTTCTTTTGCATTTCTCTCATGACAGACATTCAAAGCTTCTACAGTAGCATGAGCGGTGACTGCATAGTGTGGAATGAGCAATATCAAAGCAGAAGCAAGCACGGTGTCACAGCTTAATTTCTTAAGCCCAGAAGAGTCTCTCTCTGGCCTTGTTTGAAGCTTCAGGCACTGGCTGGTACCTTCATAAGCAGAACAGGGCGTGGAACAGACCCCACCTTAGATCCAAACAGCAGTTCCCTTAGTATGGGAAAGGCCTTGATCTTTCACATGAAAACTAAATTTCGCTTTTTGAGTTGACTTCTCAGTTTTCTTTAGGGTACTGGAATAAGAGTAAAAGATACTTCTCTTGATTTTTTGGGAAAATCATGGATAGTTTAATAGGAAAGAGAACATAAGGGATCTAGTGAAATTAATTTAATGATCCCTGGTAGTGCTTAACTATTTCTGTCAGTTAACTGAACTATCATTTCGATTTTAGAAGACTTTCATCTGTGGGGATTCAAAAACTAGTTTGGAAACATAATTTCCCATCTTCATTTCTGTACCCTTTACAGACTAACCATCTTCAGGAAGGTTTGAATTTATTACAAAGACTGAATTCATTACAAGGGGTTGTCTTTGGACCTCTGAAGGTTTTTATGCTGTAGACTTTAAATTCCAGATAAGATAGTGCCTGCTTTTTCCCACCTTCTAGAACTATTTAGAAATTAAAGTGCGTTCGTAGAAGCTACCAGTGGAGAAGAAAATGAAGGAGTTGAATGGCAGTCAGCTTAGTGGGAAAATGGGAGACAGACACTGAGTTTATTTTCACTGGATGCCCAGCTCACTAACTTAACTTCTTGGTGATTCAGTCTCCCCATCAACTGTCAATAAAAATATTACTTTACAACGCCTTGTCAGTGGGATGTTAAATTTAGTAATTAGAAAATGCTCTGAAAGTTTTGGATAAAAAGTCCTCCTGGAGTGTTGTTGTTGGGAAGTAGCAGTGCCACACAGAACAACCATGCCTATAAAAGACAGCTGCCTGTTTTGACCTTAAAACCTACCTTTTCCTCTTTTCAAACTTAGGTTTTCATATCTCTGGAACAAATGGAGAGTAGTTCCTATGTTCTACTTATCCCTCAGCCTTTCCTTGCTCATTTCCTTTTCTAATGCATGCATTTGCTGGATGTGCTGGTATCCAGAGACAGGCGTAGCTTGTCACAGTGAGGACATGTTTGTTTCCAATGCCCTTGAGCTTGCTTGAAGCTTCTTTGCTTGCTGAATGTATGATGACCCCTTGGGGTATGCAGTCCCTCAAGGTTCTAAGTACAGAGCAAATGCCTTTTTGCACCCAAGCACAGGACTTTGAACCCAAGCCAAGCCCACATCCAGAGATGATTATGGAGGTTCCTCAGTGACTACACATTCAAGCATTGGGACTTGCACATAAATCACATCAAAAATCTCTTCTTTCTATTGAAATGTCTGGATCCAGAGGGAGGTACTAGGCGTTCGTACAGGGAAATTCAATCTGTATGCTTCTCTTTTGACTTTTCTGTCTTTTTTATAGCTCAAGCAAGGGAGAAGTTGGGGAAGGGGCCATAATGGGATGCCTATGCAGAGCTTAATGCTGAAAACAGAGGCCTGATTGAATAGAGCTCCTTGTGATGAGAAGGGGGATCAATTCACAGTTGACTCCATCCCATTGTGTGGGTTGTCCTGGGAGTTTCCTTTAAAATCCCAGTGGTTTGGTTTTTCTGCATGGTTTGTACTCAGCCTTTCCCTCCATGAATAGAATAGCTTTTTCTGGAATTTCTGCTGGATTTTCTGTGGTTGTTGGCTGAGCAATGCTCTCCCACTTCAGAACACTGTAGCAAGTACATTGTGGAAGTACAGATCAGGGACGCAGAATCATTTGGTAACTGAAAGTTTTTCATATATAGAACAAACATATTCCTGGGATGCAACTGCCCCCAAGAATCAGATTACACTTTACTGTCCCAGGTGGAAGTACTCATTCATTATTTTGTTTGCAGGAGTTATTTGGGACTTTAAAAACACATTAATTTCTGCCCTGCAGAATTTACAGTTCATTGTGATAGAAAGGCAGGGAGCTTCAGGCAGACTGGGGAACAAAACACAGTTCTTAAAGCATAAGTAGACAGAACTGTGAGTTAAGGACATCAGATGCTGATTTGTAAGCATCATTCTTGTACATTATTACTTGTAAATATACCGGTCTAGAGAAAGGAATTCATTTTAGAAGGGAGGAACTACTTTAGAAATCCATACCTGGCAGTGTCAGGTAAAGACACGTGCAGGATATTTCCCTGCTCTAAATGAGCCCCTGTATGAGTGGGGTAGAGGCTAGGTCTACAAGGAAAACTGGATTATTACCCAGGTATATTTTAACATCTTGCTAAAGTTAACACGCTGTATTTGCCTGTCTGCTGCACTGCCTCATAATCTAGTGGCAGCATTTGAAAGGAGAATAAGGCTTTGTTCCTTCACTTTTCCAGCAAGTTGCATCAAACTTCCTGATCAATCCAGTGTCTTTGGAGCTCTGTCCCCAGCCTGTTTCCGAGCCAGCCTGTGGCTCTTCCTGCAGTGACAGGGTGTTGTCCCATTTTATGAGCAAGATTCTGCACTCATAATTGTGTTTCTTTGCTGGTATTGCCAGCCAGAGCCAACCAGAGATTTTATCTAGTCAGTAGCACAGGAAAACTCAAGACACGTCTCTGTTTTTCAATATAAGGTCTCAGCACTGGCCCCACACACAAGCTTTCTTTTTTCCCACATGTGGAACATGCCCTGGTGTGGGAGAATGAGAATTGAAGCTGTGCTATATAAACTGTGCCAGATGCTAAATTGCATTAAACTACTTTTCTTCTTCAGGAGATCAGATTCTTCTTGTTTGTTTTTTCAGTATCTTAAAACATCCTGATTTTGTTCTTTATTTAAGGCATAGGGAATTTAGACAAAGAAGATTTTCCCCCCATTTATTTCCTACTGATAAAATATATCCAGCCTTTTTTTCCTGTAAACAAGCACAGCAAATGAAAAGATACCAGGTTTTCAGTAGGATAGAAATTAATGATAAATGGAGTTTCTTAGTGGTTATATGAACTTGAAGAGCTCCCCTTCCAGATAGAAACAAGTTTGAAAGTCTGTTCATCATCTGCTTGAAATCTCTGTCCTTCTTGTTAGCCCTTTGGGGGAGACACACAGTGAGTGTGTTTTGTTTTTCAGAAGTTGATCTGCCTCTGAAAAAAGATGGGTTCACCTCAGAAAGTACAACTCTGGAAGCTTTGCTGCGTGGAGAGGCAATAGAGAAAAAAACAGACACTAAAGAGGAAGACACTATACAAGAAATCCAGGTAAAGGAGAGCCCTATGCTGTGACATCAGGGCTGGATTTTACAGTTTGTCTCTAAGTCTAACAGTCTTTTGTCCTGTGGCAAAACAGTGTATCTGCTGATAGTTGTGTCATTCTACTGCCAAAATATTATCAAACCTTTGTGCTACACTGTGATGCTCAAAATGATATCAGTATCTCACACGCTTCTCTTGTCACAAGAAACTTTATTGTTTGACTGTTCTGCACAGGTCCTGTGTTCAAATTTATTTTGCAGTACTATGAGATAATTACATAAAAAACCTGAGAAACTGAGGTGGATCCCAACAATAAACTGATTTTTAATGGTTCGCATTTAAAGTGAGATTCACGAATTTCAATTTGGATTCACAGCTGCTGTAGATTAAAACATGTCATTGCTTTGCCTGTTGTTTTTTTTTTTTTAATAGTAGGTAGCCTTCTGGAGGTAGACAAGAAAAACTAATTTCTTAAAAAATATAATCTCAAATATTTAAATTATTATTAGTGATGCAGTATGAGAAATATTGCCTTTTCACATGCATTATGGTTTGAAACTAGTCAAGATTTCATTTCATCCTTCAACAATTAAAAGCCAAAACACAATTGTAGGTTTGTTATAGAAGAAATTCAGCTAATATAAAGGGTTCTTGTGTAAGTCCATGTCACTTTTAAAACATCTTAAATCACTGGGAAAGCGGGCCTCTCCCACAGCAGTACATCTTTGGTGATGCTAAAACACCATTGTGCTGTGAGTCTTTTAGGGATTTTTAGTGAGAGTTATTAGCAATGTGTCAAACTTGGTAATTTTGGGTGAGATACAAAAGGTTGCATCTATACCTCAAAATAGTAAAAATTTGAGGGGTCAGTCCCATGTGAAATGAAACAGAAAAATGCAAACATCAAATCTGTATTACCTGAAGGTCAGTCCTGCTGCTCTATTTGTTAGAAATTTTACACAGGTAAGGGCAGCACAATTGGATCTCCCATTCCCAGTTGCAGAGCTAAAAGAGCACCATCAAAGAGGAAGCATGCCATGCTTATGGACTGGGGAAAAGCTTGACATAAGCCCCGCTCTGTTTACTTCTTCAGCAGTATATCTGGGTGTTACCAAAGGTCTGTTTTTCCTGCTTTCAAGGTCACAAGAAGTCATGGTGCAGCATCCTTATAAAATTGACAAGTGCCTTTGAATGTTGCTGTGTGATCTGAGCTCCCAAATTATCCCCAGCAGCAGTCTGAAGAAAGAGACCTCAGATATGGTGGAAATGACATAAATCCAGGCATTGCAGAGCAGGGAGGGGGTGCAGAAAAACACAACAGATTTTCAGCTAAACTGCTGTAGCTGTGACCTGTCAACTGGATGCTAGTTTCATCAGAACAGATGCAAAAGGCATGTCTTGCTGCTTTATTTTATGCAAGCATAGCTTATCTGGATTCAGTCTGTAGAACAATGATTGCCAAAGCCTTCACTAGCAGGCAGCTTCCAGTGTGTACTTTGGCACCTGGCAGCTAGACTGTACCAGATGAAAATCACAATCAGTGCCTTTATCGGTATGACAAAAAAGAGAATGCAAATCTCTCTTTTGTTCCTTTGCATACTTGTCTGTGCTGTAACTCCAAAGGACCCAGCCTCAATGGTGGTGAGAGTGAGCAGCTGGGATAGACATCATTGTAATTCCCACCTCAGACCCAGCCAACCTTCCAAATTCCCAGTATCTGTCAGGAGAAGATGACTTGGTGCTTGGCTGCACCAAAGTATATAGGGCTGGGAAACTTTTAGTAAGACATAATAGGAAAAGAAAAGTTACTCTGCTAAAACATACCTGAGTTCCCCCAGCTAAATAGATGCAGGCATTGGGACCTGCTGTACAGTTGGTGTGTAACAGGATTGACAATTTTACTCTACAGTAAATTGGTATTGAATGTGTGTCTCCATTATTTGATGGAGAAGAGTTAGAGTAGCCTTCTGACATGCAGCAGAAAGGTTATGCCCCTTCTATCAAGGATTAAAGTAATTACTCTGACAGTGTCACCAAATTCACACTTGTTTGCATATTATCTCTTTCCTAAATTGCTTCAATTTTAAAGGAAGAAAGTGGTTTGTAATATTTCTCTTAACTCTCATGTAGTATTATTGTTGGAGGAAAAAAATTATTATTATAATTTTCCTCCCACATACGATGTGGTTGCCCCTGTTTTTTTGGGGATTTTTTGAGATACTTTAAGATATGAAGCAATGGGAAAATACAAACGCATATCAGTAAGTTTGCTTATTTTCTTACATACATTCTTACAGTCTCCTCATGTACAAAAATTTTCAAGCACTTCAGTCCTAAGATGAATTCAATTAATGTATGCAGTTGTATGAATTTTGAAGAAGCATTTTATGTAAGCAGAACTGGAGCCTGTTTAACTTTTACACCATCTAGTATTTAGTACCTCCAGTATTATGTGAAATTGTATTTCATGATGGTCGGAGCTCATTAATAGCCTCCTGATATTCAAAAACAGAAGAAGCAAAAATTAGATGAAGACTTGATACTTGTCATGTGCTACAACTTGTTTGTAATGAACTGACCAGTATTAGTCTTTGAAATTTAGCTGATAAAGTAAGAATAAGCTTTTGTAACTGATCTTCTAAATACAGACATTTTGAAACATGAAATTTGTGTTATATTCTTTCCCACAAATTCAGAATTTGGTGCTTGAGGTATGTGGAAAGGAGAGAAAGAAACTGATTTGCTCCTGTTCCCTACCTGCTGGTTCTCAAATAGCTTTTAAGTAGAAATTAGAGAGAAGGAACAAATACAGTAAGACTGAAGAACATTCCTATCTGTTTAATGTCACTATTTGGATCTGCATTGTGGCTATAATTTAAATTAATGTTGGCATGGTGAAGGTAAGTTAGTGATTCTGGATTAGTCCCTTGCAAAATGGCACAGCACCATAAATGGCAGGAGTGGCTGGGGACAATTTCTGTATTTCTAGCAGACATGCCAAGGGTTGAGGGAATTTCAGTGGGACTTCTTCCTGCATTAGTGTCGTGATGATTTGTCTGGCCTTTTTCCATGTGATGTCTGGCTTGTGCATGTTTTCATGCAGGTCAGCCAGCCTGTGTTTGGTTCTGTAGAGGTTACATTTTAAAAGATCAGGTTAAAAGATTGAAATTGCCTGGCCCAGGCATCTCACAGTTATGTGAGTTGATGAACTATTGTTCCTAATAAATAATTAGTTGAACAAATTATTGCTGTTGGTACTGTTAACCTCAATAAGATCTGTAATTCCTCAGCATTCTCATGCAACAAACTTCCTGCTTCCAGATTAGAGTTGTACCTGTGGTGCAAGCCCTAAAAAACATGGCTTTCTAGATCCATTCTGGAATACATGAAGGAATTTTCTCTATTTTTGCTAAAGAAAGAAGATGGTGAGCTACCAAGGAGAAACTACTGGTTTTGTATTCCTGAAGTGCACTCTTAACATTAGAAGAAAACAAAACTATTTAAATTGCAACAAATGAAAATAAAAAAACCCAGGCTAAATTGAAAACAAATTCCCAGACAGGGCCTGCAGTTATGCATACTAATATTTGTGTTGTCTTGGAATATTGGTGCTCAGTGCTGCCAGTATTTGTTCTTAGGAACCTTCTTGTCATAGTTGACTGATATCAGTAGTAGTTTTTTAGTAGGAATTCCCTTGAGATTTTAGGGTGGAAAAGAGAGCAAATTTTGCTTTGGTAGAGAGAAGCAGGGGTACTGGGATCTCATTTGGCTTTATATCAACTGTAATAGCCCACAGTCACTGTGGTAAAGAGCAGCAGTTGGTTGTATGAGTCCTCCTTTTTTCTTCTAACCATTCCTTTATTGTTCAACTACAGAGGGTTTTAGAAAATGATGAAAATGCAGATGAAGTAAACGAGGAAGAAGACTTGGAAGAAGATATTCCAAAACGAAAGAACAGGCCTAGAGGACGGGTAAGTGGAGAGTTTATTGGAATGGAAAGGAAGGAAGCAAAGCTCTGCTTTCTAGTGTATATTTCTTATGTGTATTATGTATGCAAAGTATTTATCCATGCATATTTGGTAGGGATAATACTATAGGTAATTTTCAGTCATATGTAATAGATTTTTAGTATTTTTTCTGTTTACTTTTGTGAATTGCTTTGAAAGAAAAGGACTATTTTGAGAGTAAAAATTTGGGGGGATTTTATTTTAGTGTTGTATTTACAATTGTAATGTAAGCTGTAATAACTATGATAACACCATACTATTACAATGCTCCTTAAAAAAAACTTTACTAATTGAAGAAAAGCAGCAAATTCAGTCATGGCAGCCAAAAAAGTATTAATAAAAGTAACTTGAACTGTGTTAATAAGTTTTGCAGCTTTCTCCAGGGTAGCATTTTGTGGCTGATGCTGGCTCTCTTGAGCCCATGGCAAATCTTCCATTTGCTTGAAAAGGGCAATATTTTATCCTAAGGGGACTCTGTGTCCCTTCTCTTACCTAAGATGTCTTCACAATTCATCAGGGTACTAGTTAAGTAATGAGGCCAACACTTTAAACTTGGAATCAACATTTTCAATTGTGGGCCCTTAAGTAAGCTAGGCATCTAAATAAACGTGAACACAAGTCTCAGAAGTTTTGAGCATTTTCATCTCTCTTTGGCTCCAGTGGATGCTGCAGGGGCACAGGAGCTCTATTTGTACCTTTTGATGTGTTTATAGAAGTCAAGCAAGAAGGGCCACATTTGAGGCCAAATGAGCAGAATATAATAGCTTTTGAATAAGAGACATGAAACCACATTGAATAGTTGAAATGTACTTATGCATCAGACCCTCTCTTTTGGTTTCTTCTTTGGTTGTTGTGTTGTTTCAGTTTTCTGCTCCTCTTTATTTTGGAGCTTAAGTCCTTTAATATAAGATCAAAGCAGTTGAATAATTGGATAAGTATATATTTCATCTTCCTTATTCTCAAAATCACCTGAACCAGTTTCTTTCTTTCTTTCTTTCTTAGCCAAAGACCCCCACCTGGAAAAAAATTTTCCAGAAAAATGTAAGTTTCAGAAAATTTGTATGAACCAGTAACCAAAACCAGGAGATAGAATCAATATATGCGCATAAGATTGACTGTAGCAATCAACTAATATTCCAGGCTAACAACTCTTTTCTAATAAGTTGCTCTCATGTAAATTGCACATGCTGGTTAGGGTGAGTGAAAGGGAGTAAAGAGCTAGAAGAGATATACTGCTCAGGAGAAGAGGATTTGGTGTATTCATATATCCCAGACCTGTACAAACAAAGTCCTGAAGTTAGTATTACATGCAAGATTTTGCTTCCCTGTTCAGGAAAATGGTACAGAATTTTTTCTCTGTTACTGTAAGGAAAGGAGTTGGAGAGTTCTAGATGTCCCATTAATTTTGAAGCGTACATTTATGTTTTATTTTCTGCCCTAGAACTTTCCCCCTGTTAATTATAGGAGCATCAGGATTGCTTGCTTTTTTCTTGCAACTAACTCCTACTCTGCTAGTGCCCTGGCTTCTTTCAGTGCAAAAAAGAGAAGTCTGAATAATGCCACATACTTCAAGCAATTTTAAATTTTATTTGATGGCATCAATATCCAAAGCAAAATGTGGTAGAAATCAGGATTTCAAAATTTGGGGCCAGGTTATCTAGCTGTTGAAAACTGGTAAGCCTGAATTGCATCTGGTCACAAGTTCTTTGCCAGTTTTCTAAAGGCAGCCCTTTCCTAGCCTGACTGAGTATAGGGAATTGAGGCTAAGGATTTAAAATTAGGTGACATGAAACCTGGCCTGCTCTTTGTTTCTGGGAAGGACTTGGTCAGGGTATTTTTAGAGGGCAGAAGAGGGGAAGGACATGCATAGGAAACAAGATCCTGTGGAGTGTGACCTTTGGAGATTCAGAGGAGTGAGAAGGACTAACAGCATAAATGCAGGATTATTGCAATGGAATTACTGCTCTGGACTTTCCAAATTGCACATGCCCATTTCTTTCCCTACAGCATGATTTTATTTTTAATCCTGGACTCTCCATCTGTCTTTTTGGCTACTCTCTTTGGCTGCTTCAAGGCTGCTGAGCCCTGGGTCCAGGCCTCACACATAAAGTCTTTGCTGCATCCTGTCAGGAGAATAAAGGCAGCCTTGGATGACTGAATTCAACAGCCTGGAGCACAGGCAGCAAGCATGGGGCATTCAGTTTAGTGCCTCTGGGGCAGCTGCTTGGTTTCCTGTCCCCTCAAGGCTAGCCCTGAAATCATGGTGGCACAGGAAGGACACTGAAGGCTGAGGTGGTAGATCTACAGAAGGACATTTTTAGTGTTTTTGTTGAACCGGGTCAATGTGATAGGAGCTGGGCAGTATAGTTTTCTAGGAGATATGAGATGTGCATATGCACCTGCACAGATTGTCTGCTCATCAGCTGGATATCCTGTGGGACAATTTCAAAGGCACCAAGCATATTTAGGAACCCAAGTCCCATTGAATGTCATTGACTTGAAAAATCTCCCCCTCTGTGTTCATGGCATGAAAAAGTGTATCTGACATGTGGTCATGCCATGAATGCTGTGCCCCTGCATTTCTGTAGAGAACAGTTTGAAAGGGAATAGCTGGCTGTAAGACTAGAAAAATTCTGAGCAACAAACATTAAATTATTATCATATTCTGAAATGTACCTATGTAAAATAGTACCTTCTTACTCAACAGGTACGTTCCCAGTGTGTGAATAGAGTCAGAGCTACTGACTAGTGACAAATATAAGACTTTACATCTTTTTCATAGCCCTGAAAAGCCAATGCAGCTGGTAAAATGGGGAACTTAGATCATAATCTGGGTACCAGCAGAAATATTTAAAAGAGCCAATCACTTGTCTATGTGAAGACCGCCTGATGAGTTGAGGGTTGTGGAGGAGTTGCCATGGACTGAAATTCAGCTTGCAGCACATTTAGCAGTAGTGAGAGAAGAAAAGAACTAGCCTGGGATTGATTTCATTGCCCAGAGGGGGTTTAAAGAGCTGGCAGTCAGAGAGAAAATAGTGCAGACTAGTAAGATGATTTTATATGATATGGTCAGTAAAGAAGCTTCCACCAAACAATTGTTGTTGATGCCATTTCTAGGGTGAAACTGCTTTTCAGTTCACCCTTACAAATCTTGCTCTGCACATGTGTGTTGGATTGCACAGAGGTCTTTGCAGAAGGCAGAGTTATCCTTGTCATACATAATAGTATTTACCCCATCCAGATAGCTGCAAATCCATGTCTTTCCTTTGGGACTGTGTTAAGAGATAGACCTACACAATCCCAGGGAAATAACATGTGAAGTTTTTATAACTTCTGTTTAAAACTGTCTGTTTTGACAGACTCTGTCAGGCCAGTGTAAAACTGTTCCGTATTACTTCTCTTTAGATAACCAGCAGAACACAATTCTAATAGTGCTAGTTCTGTTCCAAGCTCATAGAGGAGGGATGGAGTTTCCATGGCCCCTTTATGGCTGGGTGCGAATATTCTCAGGATTTCTACACCTTCTTCAGCTTTACCTAACACAGCTCTGTCCTTTTCTTATTTTCACGTGAAAAGGCTTGCAGGATTTGAATCAGGTGGCCTTGTCTAGAGTGAGAAATATGACGAGTAGTAGAAGCAAGTCTGTCATTTTTTTCCTAGAATAGAGTAGTTAGCAGAATTAATAAAGAACTATTTAGCCATCCACCTGTGATCATTTCCTCAAACAAAGATCAAGTCTAAAATTATTATCATTTACAGACTGTACATTAGTGAACATGAACGAATTGAAGGCTTTGGCTCAGTTCCCAGTTTCACATCACAACTCCAGCATTGGACAGATGTGAGCTGTTTCCTTGTTGGTATCTCATCTGAGAAGGGTCAGAATCAAGTAGTTTTGAAGCTGAATTCCGCTCTCACCCCTGGAGCTCAAGACAGAACAGTCTGTGTTGTGGAGAAACAAAGTTTTTCAGTTTCTATAGCTGCCAGTTTGGTCCAGTTTAGGAACACAGAACTGCAAAGAGACTTTTCTGGGTAATTTCTGTTATTGCAGGTAGCCACATTATCTAATATTTTCCACTAACTGACCAAAGGTCCATTTTATAATTAGCCATGGTATCTTTGTCCCAGAAGGCCATTTCAAAACACTGCTTTTCAGCTAGAAAACAAAACACAGCAGCACAAACAATGCTCCTTTGAAAATACTGAAGGAAATAATTTGACCTCTCTTTCATTTGGGGCCTGTTTTCTGGCTGATTTAATGTTTGTATATATCCTTCAACACCTGTTCATCTATTCATTCGTTCATATTCAGTTCAGCAAGGTATTTGAACATCTTCAGAAATGAATGTGTGATGATACTTGACTGAATATGTGCTGGCAGTGACCTACTGCAACGGATGAACAGTTTGAGCTGTCTGTGGAGAGGATGTCCATTGCTTTACAAGGTGCATTAACATAGAGCACATCTTAGGAGATGGAGGGTCAAGACCACTTTGAGAAACCTGTATGGAAGCTGAGGATTTGCTTAGTTTATACTGCACATCTTTCATAAGAGGGTGTGGGGTGCAAGGAGACCTGAGGGGTGATGGAATAATGCTAACATTCCTCTTGTCCTTGCAGGCTCGGGGGTCTGGAGGTGGCAGGAGACGGAATGATGCTGCCTCCCAGGATGATAATGACAAACCCTATGTTTGTGACAGTAAGTAGCAACAGACAGCTTATTCTGCTTCCAGCCTGGTCCTACCAGCTCAGTGCACTCAGGGCTTCATATATTACAGCAAAATATTCTGCTGCTCTCTGACTTGCATGTTTGCCACCTGCTGCTGATGCTCTTGGTGTTTTTGCATGAAGGAAATAAAATTAATTTATCAGCAAGACTCCACTTTCCTTTGCCCTTTAATAAGTCATCTCTTTTCTTTCTCTTTTTCTGGCTTCTCTGCCTTTTGTCTTCTTTTCCCCCATGTAAGTTTCACCCTCTATTTCTTTCTCTGTTTCAGATAGTTACAAACAAAAGCATAAATCAAAAATCTCCGACAAAGGTACTTCACCCTTGTTGTGTCTCTTGATATATTTGGTGATTCTCTTCCCTTTTAAAACCTCACTGGGCTAAATTCTGAAGGTCTTATCCCTCACCAGATGTCTTGTGGCATTATCAAAAGCTGAGCCCTTCTAAGAAACACATAACATCTTGAATGCTTTGTTTTGATACATATTCCCTTTGAATATAGCACTGCTGTTTCCATCTTCCAGCTGGACTGCAGGTGAAGCAAGGCATTTTCTGAATGGAAAAATTATAGTAGAGCCCAGCATCAACACCAAAGGAGGGTACCAGAGTCCCAGTATGAGTGAGGAGTCCAAGATTTGTTACACAATGGTTTGGGGTTTTTTTTTTAGTCTAGTCCTTGATGCCTTCCTTCTTCTTCTGATATTCTTTTTTGCTTCATTTTTATGAAGGGCACTTTTCTTACCCACATATTTTTGAGATATCCCATCTTAAGGCTTACTCTAGAGTTACATCCAATTGTAATTTGTACTACCAGGTACCTTCTAGCTTGTAAGACAATAACCTAAATAAAGTTAATAGACGTAGGAGAATATTAGATCTTCACTTCTGTGATCCAAAACAGCTGGTTTTGAGGACAACTAGAACCCTCTTTTCTATTATTTGCCTACCTTGCAATGTTACTGACTTTAAAATAATAACTCTTGCTATGTCAGTCTTTGGGGGCATTTCTGCTGATTTTTAAAAAGTGAGGAAATAAGGGGCTTGCATGGTGAATAAGAACTATATTCCATGTGATGAAATCATATTCTTGTATGGTGAGACCAGTACGTGCCCAGAAACTGAAAGACTTGCATATGAATGGGACATGACACATGATAAAAACATGGTCAAAGAGGAAGAGCTCTTAAAGTTATGAATAGTCAGAAGATCTAATCCGTGGTTAAACAGCAGTCCTAGTGCACTGGAATAACTGAAATGTGTCTTCTAAGACTTCTGTGAGAGCCCAAGATATATCTTGCTGAAATCCACAGGTTTCCTTCGCTGGTATATGCATATCTTTCTTTATCTCTTTTCTGGAACAGCCTTCTAAATCCAAGAACACTTGTCAGTGGCAGTAATTTTGAACATAATGACTCTATATTGTCTGATCTTGCACTGCTTTTGGATTTTATCGAGAACTCACAACATGCATAGTAGTGATTTGCACAGAGTAGTTTAAACATTGAAGATATCAAAGCAGGCAGCAGAAATCTGGCCTGAAGTCAAGACTCTCATACATTTTTTATTGACAGAATTTGCCTTGGCTTACATTTTGGAGCATAAATTTAGTCCTTAGTGTTGGAAATATAAACTTTCCTGTTTCACTTTTGGGGAACTTACAGTTACAGGTGAGTCATAAGGAATTTTGGACTCCAGACTTTACACAGTGACTTCTCCTTTTCCATTGTAGATAGATGATAAAAGGGTTATATGAATGCAGAACTCTTTTTCCTGAGTTTAGAGCAGAAGGGAAGAACTGTCCCAGTTGTAATGTCATCATCCTGAAGAATATCCTATCCTTGTTAAATTTCTATACAAACATGACATACAATTAATTATGAGTAATTGACCTATTATCCTGCTTGGGTGGATTTCTTGGAAATAATCTTTTTCTTTGAAATTATTTGATGAATATTTTTATAAATAAAACTCAATCTAACTCTGGTATGTTAGAAATTGATTTGCAGTACTCCTTATGCAGATGTTTTGGACAGATAAATTTGTTTTACATGGAAACATGCAGGTGAAACAGTGTATGTATTTCCTGTTTGGGAAAGCATTATTCCCTCAATCACATTATTGGTATAAATAATTAGCTTAATGGGTCAACAGTTTGCTTTTTCTGTAGTTTATTTAATTTTCCTCCAGGTTGCTTTTTCTGCAAATATTCTGATATTTGAGTTTTGAAAATGGCCAGAGAGAAGAAAGCATAAACACAGCTAAACCAAATTAATTTTGTTATAAAATTGCATGGGGACAAACAAAGATTTGTGGTCAAAAACTACTTGCCCTTTTTATCATATTTACACATTCATATTTATGGGAAACAAGAACATATCAACTGATTTCATCAGTTAGAAAAAGGTTTTAGGAAAAAAACTAGTCTGTGTGTCAGTAAGATGATGCAAGAGTGATGTCCAGTGGCACTACCACTGGGCTGGAAAATAGCAATGTTATCCCTGAAAAGACCTGACTTTTTCTGTAAGAGGCATTCAGACCTACATCAGTATTAAACTTGGTCCCAATATTAAAGCTGACTGGAAACATGCAATTTCTATGTGGTAAAGGTTTTCAGAGCTCAAAATATTTTGTCCTCCTCTGTTTTTCAGAATAGGTGTTTGGAGGCCTGTTTTATGGAATTAAATATTCTGAAATACTTCAGCTGGTTTTATTGAGCATATACTATAGTAGAAATTAGAATAAAATATTTGATCAAAGCATCAATAAAATTGCTAGGATAATAATGAAATGCATTGTTTCATCACATCACCAAGTAGAAAACTTGATGGTCAGATTTTCAACCAGTTGCACTGGATAGTGCCTTAAACTCTCTTGGGATAGCTTCAATAACAAGAGTGGCAGGCAAGCCTGGTGGGAGATGGGTATAAACTGCAAATGGTAACATAGCCAAATGTCTTAGCAGCTGTATGAGAGCAGTCCCAAATGTAGCTTGAGCACCTCACAAGGAGAGGCAGCAGGTGCCTCAAAGAAGAGTGGAAAGTAGAGCTTGAAAAGCAAAGTAAAGCCTCTGAGGTCAAGCAAGTGGAAGGTAAACCACCACCACTGTTCCTGATGAAGAGGGCATGTGATTTTTAAAGGAGGGACAGAGTGAACGAACAAATGAATACCTACACATTTAATCGGAATTGATGGCATTTCACTTGCAAATATTCAGCTGGGGAACCATTATTTCTACTGAGCAATCTTCTTAAAAATCCTTCTACTATTTTAGTAGTGTTTATTATATATTACTTACTACTTTTTAAAAAGAACAACCTTCTCTGAATTTTTATTTAGAAATTTGTATTCTAGTTTAAAAGTTGCAATCAGTTGTAGCACTTGAGTTCCATGATTCCAAATGTGTGCTTTCTTTAGCCGGAGAATTTACTCTCTGCTGAATCTCTGCAAGTAATTAACTTTCCTGCTTCCCCTTCTCACTTTTCTGCTTTCATTCTTGTCAAGTTCCCATGGAGACATGGGATTATGTACATACTTCCACCTTTGTTTTCTGTTCCTCTGTCTATGGAAGATTTCCGTTGCCCATCTCTAAAAGAAATTTATTTCTTTTCCTTTTACCAATATGTCCTTGTCTCCTTTTAGTTTTATTCCCATATAAACTCCTATTTTAGCATAGCAACTTATATTTGTATCGTATCCTTTTTTTGTAGTCCTTCTGAGACTGAACTGTACATTCAGATCCATTCCTTGTGCAAAATGAGCATTGACTGAAACCTTCCTAGGATCTCTGATGGATCAGTGACTAACGCAACATTGTATGTACCTATGTACCCAGAGACACTGATCTTGTAGTATTTTGTAGAAGCTGATTCTTTCCTCAAGAACTTAATTTTAAGGTTTCTCTAGTTATTAACCTACATTCACTCTGCTGAAGTCCAAGACTAGCAGTTCTTGTACTGTTCTCAAGGGATAACAATGTCTTCTCTGTCTGTAAACAGTTACTGGGACTTCTTTCAGCTGTGTTTTCTTCAGCTCTTCTACTAAGTTTGTTTCTTTCATGCAGAAAAACTCCAAAGGGCCTTTTTAAAGTAATAGTGGCCAGAACAAAGTTAAATGTGCTGTTCTGAGGATAGAAGCATTTCTGAAGAAGAGTGGTTGATAGATTTATATATACTTAAAATTACTTTTAGAAACTGGATTTAAGCAACCTGCTCTGTTATGTATCCATGAGAGGCACAGGATGGCTGACCTAACAGGTTATTCGGTAATCATCTCCTGGTATTATCCTTTCTGGTGAATCCCTAAATAGATAAGCAGTAAGATCTAGAATAAGATGCTTGTTCAGATGAACTCAACAAACAACTCTCCCACCATAGCTGCTATTCTTGGCATCAATTGGCTACATTATTGGTAGAAAGACAAGATTAGATAGGTAAGGACATTAAAAAAGAATTAAGTACTGAATAACACAGATGTTGAATAGAGCACATGGTAGGAGAGGAACAGAGTTGACTCTAGCAGTTGAACATTTTCTGCTCATGTAGAATATTTGTTTTCTCCTTTGCTCCAGCTAGCAACCCATTTATTGAAATGTGCACAGCTGTATTGTTGAGCTGCGCATGTTTTGGGGTTTGAACTGGGGTCCAAAGTTACTGTGATCTTAATACAGCAGGTAGATTCTGGGACTTGTCCTCTGGGGGCACTGAAACAAGGACTATTTACCTCCTTATTCTACCTTCAGAAAATTCCCCATGTAATGGGTTATTAAATAGCTGCACTCGTACTACAGGTGTATAGTGTGACAGGACTGATCAAAGAAGGATGAATGTGAAATCTTCCTATCAGTGGAGGTCAAAATACATTGTTAATGGTTGAGCCTCTAGATGTGCCAGAGTCTGTATACAATTATAACAGAGGAGAATATATTACCAAACCAGTGCAAAACAAGGACTTCTTTTTTTTTTTGTTGAGGTTTGTTTTTTTGGGGTTTTTTTGGGTTGATTTTTTTTTTTAGTGGAGTGAATGGTAGGACAGGAAGATAACTTTAGGAAATTACTGCCTGCCAGAAGTTAACTAAAGATTTAGTATTTGACACAGCACAGCTGAGAAGAAAGAACAGGAGGCAACAGAGAAAAGCAAAGAAAGACAGTGAGGGGGACAAAATTCAGTGACCAAAAAAAACCCCAAAAAAACCCAGCATGTACTCCTTCAGTTTCCTGTTTCCACTGAAAACATGGATTGTTTCCTTCTGTCTCATACTGGTGACAGATTGTGCAAAATGTATGTGGATAGCTGGCTGGAAAACAGCTCACAAACTGCCAAGGACCAAATGTGTAACTATTTCAAAATTACAGCAACAAAGCCATTAGATATTTGATGAGGAAGTCTTTTAAGTCATAGGTTTCAAATCCCCTTTTTTAACAGGGGAAGTATTTTATATTGATTTTACTCCTCAAGAAATATAAACAGAGTGAGAATTTGCTTATCCAAAGAATTGCAGGGTGCTGCTGTCCACAACATAGAACAGAGCTTTCTTTTGTGAAACACTCAGTGCTTGCAATTATACTGTTCCCCTCCTTCCCCCTTAATTCAGTTATGTAATGTCCTCATATCAGTCTTCAAGTTTGAAGGAAAGTACGGTTTATCATAGGAGACTGTCTGGTGGCCCCATAAAAAAATCCCTCTTCCCCATTTGTGACATTTGGTCTGCACTGCTGTATTACCGCTTACTTACCCAGCTTGTTCCTAAGGCAGCACTCACATCAGCTCATAGCAAAAATATATCCCTTGAATGCAGAAGGAATTGGAGTGGGTGATGTTCTACAAACTCCCACTGTTTTTATTGAGCTTGGCTACCTAATTAAAGATCAAGTCAACTTCCCAGTGTTGAGATTCAGGATGAAATCTACCACATGCAAGGATGATGAGCCTATCCAGCAAGGAAAATTGAAGATAAAAAAGTCAAAGCTGCTGAAAGGAAGGCCAATGGACAAAGCTTAGCTTATGAAAGGCACACTCTCACTTGCTATGTGTGAACTGCATAGTGTTAACAACTAATCAACAGCGTGCATTTCAGACTGGGAGAACCAGTTCTCATTATCCTTCTGTCAGCTCTAAGAATGAGAAAGATGTGGTGTAAGCACTGGTGTGGATGCTGGAACTCATGGATTCCAGTCCTGATAATGAAAAAAGATCACTGTGTGGGCAACTCAGCCCCTCTGTGGTTCTCTTTTTTCAGAACTGAAATGAGAATAGTTATTTCCCACTCAGGAATGTGGAGGAAGATTAATTAATGTTTGCAAAGCCAGTCTGCAGTGGGAAGAGTTATATAAGAGCTAAGTGTTTATTAATGATCAGCCTTTTATAGAAACTAATTCTTAGCACAGTGATACAGTAGATTAATAAAATGTGCTCTTACCTGGAAAAGAAGAGATTTGTGTGAATTCAAGAAGATTCAATCTGTTGGAGAAACCATGAAGTTCTGACTTAGCTTTCATTCTAGCAAAGTCTCACTGAAGCCAATGGTTCTGTTGCCTGACTAATATTGTGACCCCTTTCCCCTTGCAAAAGTCTGATTTGTTTGAGAAACATGAAATCTCTGCAGTTTCAATTCATGGCATTGCTTTGGACTCTTTTATGACACAAAGTAAATTTGAAAAATGGAAAAATCTAGACACCAAGAACAAAGTCTGCTGGAACTGCAAATCATTGGTCCTACAAAGGATCTGCTAGAACAATGTAAATCAAACTCATTTGCCTTAGTTTTGGTTATAAAGTCCTCCAAATCAATTTCTCACAAGGCATGTCTGAGACTGCTGTCACCCTTGAAGGCCATCTATAAGTCCTCACAATGGAAAGGACTCAGTTGCAGAATTACTACTGCCTCAGTTTATATCAATACTTGCTTTTTCCTGGTGAGCTAATACATTTTAGCTGAAGAAGGATGAATCTGCAGACCCAACCGATTTTCCTATGTCATACTTAACACCATAGCTAAAATCCCTGCAGGATCCTGTAAGGAATGGAGTAAACACCACCGTTTTGGAACTTGCTGCAGGGAATTCCTTTTGGCCATTGATCACCTGATAGTGTTCTGGAAATAATTTGATAGAAGTCTTTGAGCAGTGTTGGTAATTCATAGCAATAGAATTATTTTTTTAACATTCTTCTTCAAACACATGAAGTAAGTGGGATAGAGTAGGACACTTAATGAGCCAATCCAGCTCATCTAGCAGATGGTCAATCTGCTAGAAATGTAAATCTCTTTCTCCATTCTAAGTAAAGCTGCAACATTTATGTAATTACAGGAGGTTACCATTCTAAAAAAAATTAAGCAGTGAGCTCTCTCTGAGTTGATGATTACTTAAGTGCTATGCTTTTCCTTTATTCAAAACATGGGGAAAGTCATAAGAACTGCTGATATCTTGTTGTTTTGACTCTTGTTCAGCATCCGTTCCACTGCTTGTCCTTTGCCCTGCAGGACCACAGAGAAGGAGAAGTAGTGTCCCTCTCCAGAATGCACTGAAAGAAAACAAGGATGGTACTAGAAGAGGGAGTCTGAACTGATGTTTTGTGGAGAGCATGCATCTAACAACAGTCTAGCTCTTCAAAATGTCTGGCAGTTGTTTTAGGTTTACATACAAAATATGAAGGCAGATGCTTCAAAAAATGGGTGTGCATATCTATATGAGTATTTTATTTCTCTCAATATTCCCTCTTTCCTCCTGCAGGAGGTCTCATTTCTAAATCAAAGCCATTCAAAGACTTAAAAAACCTGTAACTGAGGACAGGACATATTGCACTTCAAAGAAACTTCTGTCTTGTTATGATGATTCTGTAAGCATCACCTTGCACAATGAAGAAAACTGGGAAAAAGTATATAATATTCCAGATCACTCATACGTATCATGAGCTTGTTTTATATGTTTCTAATAAAGAAAAGATTTTTTCTTGAGGGAGTTTGTAAATCAGTTAGAAGAGATTAAGAGTGAAATATATTATTGTAATAAGCTTTTATTTACATTTTTTTATAATCTGTTCCAAAAGGCAAAACATCAGTTGGTGTTTTCTGAGTAGCAGAAAGGAATAAAATGTTAAGTTTTATTTATATGTAAATGAATAAATGGGATGAGGGTGGTTGTTGTGGTGGTGGGTTTTTTTTTGTTTGTTTGTTTGGGTGTTTTTGGTTTGGGTTTTTTGGGGTTTTTGTTTTGTTTTGTTTTGTTTTGTTTTGTTTTTTTAAATTTTATTTGTGGAGTCTTTGACATTCCCAGACTCAGGTGTCTGGAGAATGGGAAATAAGTATCTATATATGTCTCAGGATACATACTGGGACTGACTTAAGTTTTTAGGAGTGGATGATCGCTATGCTGGACAGACTGCTGGACATGACATTTATTCCTGTGTGAAATCCGTGAGGTTAATTAAGCTAATAAAGTGACTGGAAATGTCTCTGGGAGGAAAAGCTTGCAAGAAGGGCACTAAGCTTTTTGTCTTAGTTTTCTAGTCTTTAAAAATGGCAATATTTGTATTTGTAGACAAAACAGCTGTATAAAAGAAAATGAACATTCAGAGAATGCTTTGAAGATGAAAAGTGATAAATTTTTGAGATGATAATATGAATTTAAAACTTTATAGACAATCAATTAATATGTAATGAATCTTATGATGTTTCCTGCCCTTGCTAAGCTCCCTGTGAAAGTGTAGACCTTTCACCACCCCGAGTTGTTTGATTCTGTCCTTAATATCTGTTGACTTAATCCTAAAATAAATGAAAGTTCAGAAGCAGGAGTCTCTGTCACATACTGTATTGTTCATTGGGCTGCTGAATATAGAGTTTACCTGGGCAAATTAGTATCACTATCAAACGTTTTTTAGCAAGAAACTGTGGATGATTTCCATCTCCTTGTCTTAACTGCGAATCTGTGAATAAAGCTATTTATTAACCTTTTAGAGAAAGCCTTTTAAAAAATCCCAGCTGTTTAGTTTTTTCAGAGATAAGTAATGAAGAAAATAATATCGCTTCTTCTCAGTCTTGTTCCCATTGCTGTGCATTGTGCAGCACCGCCACTGGAACTGGCCTTTCATTTAATTTTATGTGCAGTCCTGTTAGTAATGTTAGCAGTGAGGATTAGGGCTCTGTGATCTTCAGAGACTGAATGCATTTTCCTAGACCCGTGGGAAGGACTGCTGGCAGCATGGTGGGAGCAAAGCATGTTTGGAGACTTGCAGTTGCAGGGCTGCCCTCTGTCACCTTTCACCAGTGCTGGCTGGAAGGGTTTTGGGCAGGTGCATGGAGTGCGTGGTGTCATTCTCAGGGGTAAGGGAGCATTATTTGAGAGGATGCTGCTGTGGTTGTAGATCACACTGATGTTTCTATTCTCTCTTCCCCTCCCTCATATCTCCTTTCCATCCAGTCTGTGGCAAACGTTACAAGAACAGGCCTGGGCTGAGCTACCACTACGCTCACACCCACCTCGCCAGTGAAGAGGGTGATGAAGCCCGTGAGCAGGAGACACGCTCTTCCCCTGTCCACCGAAATGAAAACCACAAACGTGAGTAGGATTTTCTCCTTTGCCTTTGAGATCCTTTTCAGGGGTGTTACCTCCACCCTGTCTTTGCCTTGGGGAGGCTGATGTTATTGCCTAGCTCAGTTGTGAGTGATTGGGACTTGGATGCTTGGAGCTAATCAGCCACAGTTCACACGGGTGCTGGCTCAGCTAGTCAGAAATTCATTTCAAACCCAGCATTATCTCTGCAGTAAGTCACTTTTCCATTACTGCTCCTGTGGGGAGGAGGTGGCAAGGAGAGGGGGGAAAAGAAGAGATGCCCAACCTACCCATCATCAAGCAGCCTCCCAGTGGCTCTTAGTAAAGATGTCAAGAAATACACATCCTGTAGTTTCAGAGGGCTGCCTTTGTTTTGCCTTTAAATAAGAGATATTTGTAAATGTCTCAGTTTTTCAGTATGAAAATAACAGCACCTTTCTCCCTTATACCTTCACCTGCTGCACAAACAGCTTACCCTCAACTTTGCCAAAAACTGCTTCTTAGTTATAGTTTGACAACAGCTATGAAAACACATCAGTACTTATCTGCAAGGAGGAGAGCAGGAATGTGAAAGGAGAATGTGCCTCAATTTCCCACACTGGTACAGCACTGAAAGAAATCTAAGTGGTCTGAATTTTTATGTGATGAATCACATATACTCAGTGTGAGCATAAGGTCCATCATCCTGTTTGACTGTCCCTTCTGTGCTCCTTAGGCACAGAACAGGAAGTCAAGGATACTGTGTTCTGTTACTGATTTTTGCAAGTCTCTAATCCCCTGTTTCTCAGTTTCACAGAGTGTAATACTGTGTGATGTTTGCTGTGACCTTGAGATTTGTGTAGATAGCTTTCTTCACTCTCAGAAAGTTCTTTTGGTTCAGCATATGATCTGTGTTTAGTTCAAAGTAATAAAGCAATAAAATGCTAATGGGGAAAATATGCAGGAAAATACCTTAAGAACTGCAAGAAATATGGAAGTAGGAAAACATTTTCTTTCTAAGCAGTATAATTGATAATTGTCCCTAGGGAAGTGTGGGAGGGGGTTTCCTTCCTCCAAAGCATCTGCTACTAGCCACTGTCTGAGCTTGAAGGACTGTTTAGCGTGATCCCATTTGGCAAACTCTATGTTTCTGTCACTTTTATGCCCTATCTTTTAGTTATTCACATGTTTTGTAGATTTGCAGTAAAAGTAATTTTGACCCCTCCAGCTGTTGATAAACTTAAGCTGTCAATGCACTAAGAGTGACTGCTTGGGCAGGCAGGGGAATATCAGTGTTCAGCCAGTAGCTTTTGTCTACTTAGCATTTACATCCATTTTGGAGTTTTTTTAGTTGGTTGCTTGGTTTGTTTTTTTCTGTGCCTGCAGTAGTCAGTAATAGTTACATACCCGAGAGGAATATTGCAAATCTGTATTGAATTAATATTGATAATGGTCTTGCAAAATATGCCCAAAAAAAGAAAGGTAGTGTCCCATACCCTGAATTCAGCTTGACACAGGTGCCAAGGGGTCTCAGTCCTTGTGTCTGATACTTAGGAAATGATAGAAGTTAACAAGAAGAGCCAGAAGAGCTATGGTAAGGTTAGGAGCAGCTGACTTTGGCTCATGATAAAAAAGGTGCATTCTACACTGTGAGAAAGAGTAGCATGAGAGCTCCTTGGGCTTGTGTTCCCCCGGAGCATGTGGCAAAGAGAAGCTGCTGATGCACAGATCTACAAACAGGCAGAAATTTAGAATCATCGGGGTAAACCTCTCTGATGCCCAGATTCCTGAGTTGAATGAATAACCAGCCAAGAGCCAGTGAGCTATGGGCAACAGCCGTGCAAATGTGCAGATCAGCCTTGGGGAAAGTCCCAGATGCTAGAAGGTAACTGTCCCAAATGGCTGAGCTGTCACAGTGGATGTTTGTTCCTTTTTTGCCTGTTTGTTTAGAGCCTTGAGCTCAGATCTTGCATCTTTGCTCTTTCACTTGGCAGTATTTAATTTATGCTGCCATTTATCTTCCATGTGAATGCTAATTGTCCACATTGCTAATGTGCAGTCATTAAATGGTCCCTTTGTACAGGGGGATGGTGGGGAGCCAGAGCATCAGATCCTTCATCTCCCCTGTTAGGCATGTGTTATGAATTAGATTTGACAGGTCTGCAGCATCATAGAATCCTCTCTGCATGGGCTTGGGGGGTGGGGTAGGTGGGAGGAGGGAGGGAAAGAAGGCAGGGACATGTTAATCCAAACAACTAATCCACAACCCACTGAGCAGGAGGACTAGAGATATGGTGTGGAGTAGGATCCGGTTATTTGCTGAGCAGTGTGTCAGAGATACAAGCAGCCTGATTTAGAAAAGGCAAGGCAAATCAAACCAGCCATTTGGAATTTGTTGTGCTGTGGGAGGTGAGCACTAGGTCAGTAAAGTTCAGGCAAGTGGCTGCAGCATGAACTTCCTTCCTTTGTACCCACGTCTCCTCTACGGCTTCCACTCATTGCACAACCTGCAGTAATAGCAGCCCTGGTGATGCAGGAGGGAGCAAGGCTTCTGCAGGATTCAACTATTGATGCCCTAACTGGTCCAGATCAAGACCTGAAAGCCTCTTGTCTTTCTGCATATTCAGTCCCCTCTATTTCATGTACAGACCAATTTGAGTAGGTCAGAAAATTATCCAGAGATTGGAAAAGAGATGTAGATAGGAAGAACCTACCTAAAACTCAGACCATTGAATAGGTGTGCATCAAAGAACTGGGACTGGCCCAAGTCTCATGTCTCACCTCCTTGGCACATCTCACTGTCCTTGGCTGTGTAGAAGGTTTGTCTGTTTACATCTCTTTACACCTTTCCCTCCTTCTGTTCTTTCTCACATATAGATTATCTGTTGCAACATGAAAGATAGTTCAACAGTCAACACCCTAACCTGTGTTTTGTTTGAGCTTTAGTGGCTTGCTTTTTATGCTTTATCTAGCCCTTTTGCACAAATAAATAGCCTTTCCTCAGTGTCTAGTCTTGCCTCTGCCTATACAAACATTTATTTCTGACCTACTCTCTGATTTTTTTACCTGAGTATTGAACTGTGAAAAGGAAATTAAAAAAAAAACCCTTTTAAAAGTCAACTTCCCATTTCTTAAACTCCACTGAAAAAATAAATGATCCCACACCATTTTCAGACTTTTCCTCTGGTGGCTTTTCCTCTACATGTTGGCACTGAGACCGTGAGATTTGTGAGCCCAGGGTGCATCCAAGCCTGCCACAAAACACCTGCTGTTTTATTCCATCTCTCTCCATGGGTACAGGCCAGCTCTGGGGGCAGCTGGTGCTCACAAATTTTGAGGCAATTCTGATATAGGAATTACATTAGACTTCTATATAATGAAATGTCTCTGTGAATGAGTGTACTAGTATAAATGCTCTTTCTTAATTCCTGGAAGAAGAGGATAGTGTGTCTACATGGAGAAAAACTTCCTCTCCTTTAAAGGAGAAGAGTTTTCAGTGGCATTTTGCTGTGTGAAATGTTGGTTGCAGGCAGCTCTGCAGAAACAGCAACTGAACAGGATCTCATGCCCACAAGCACTTTGGCCAATGACAATCCTAAATGAAGTACATTGTGCTGAGTGTAGGTTGATCCACTGTGCAATACACGTAGTTAAGGAGGATGCATTCCTATGCCCTCCTGCCCCTCTGCTAGCTTAAGCATCTGCCCTGCAAAACTGCCTGTGTACATTATTTCATGGCATCAGCCTGTTGTGCCAGTTCCATCACAGATTTTATTATGTGGATAAATCTCTACTGGAGAGACCAGCCAAAGTTGTTTGTGTACTCTAAGCATAATTGGATACCCGGTCTCCAGAGATAAAAAATTAATGTGCTAACCTCAGTGTGCCTCCAAGCTGTCCTCCAGCTCCCCCACACAGTCATCTTTGAAACAGTTTTATTTCCATCCAGGCAGGGGGCTGGCCATGAATAAATGACGAGAGTCAGCCCCTCAGTTGGAGACGAGCTGTTTGTTCCTCTCCACAAGCAGCATCAATTTGAAAAGCTACATCAGGCCTACTTTTTCCCTGCCTCAGTGCTGATCCTTGCTGGGTCCATGGTGGGAGCTACTTCTGAATGCAAGGATGCATCAATGCCCTACTTGCAACAAGATACCTTGCAGCAGATGCTTTTCAGTGAAAATATGTACATTACCTTGAGTTGACTTCTTAGTAATTTAATCTGTTTGGGTTTTTACTCTTTTCAGAGTTTGTTCTCATAGGCAAAAACACTCAAAATGCTAAAAGAACCAGTAATGATTGGAGAGTTTGAGCTGCGTAAAGATTTCCCTTAAATCCTGTTTGCAGCTGTAAATTACTGAGACTTTTGCGTGTGTGCTTTGCAATGCTGAGTTAAAAAATAGATCAGTTGTTTAGAGTTATGGCATAGTAGAAAATCCCAAAATCATCTCCTATGTAGACTGAGAACTAATCTGCAACCCACTTTTTTGTTTGTTTGGATTGGAGTCATGGGGTGGTTGTTTTGTTAGTTTGGTGTTTCTTTTCTATACTGCCTGGACAGGGATTAAAATGTTGCGGTTGATGTGCAACTATCATTGAAGACAAGCACCGAGTACTTCTCAGTAGTTTATGGAAAAATATTTGCAATCTTACTAATTGGTTTTTGAAACACATTTGTTGCTTCAACAGCATATTAGCACTTGATTTAGGATGGTATCATTAATGTATTTGTAGGGGTTTTTTACTTTTTCTGCTATCTCCCTGCTTTTTCTGCCTTTTTCTTCCCTTCTCTATGTAGAATTGAACCAAGTGAAATCCAAATGCTTTGACTGAATTTGAACTGAATAGGTGCTCCCTGTCTTCTCACACTCCTCCAGTGGGTAATTTCCAGATAAAAGCCTACAAGATGTTGCAGAGACCCAATTCATGGCACTGGCCATTCTCACCTGAATATTGAGGGATGCTCAGATAGGGCTGTATATTGGGCATTACAATACCTTCTTGAGGTAGGATGTGTCATGGGAATGATG